GTTTCTCTCTTACACACCTCTGCAATGGGCTCAAGTCGGACATTAAATGTGAAATTTAAAAATTTTAGTCCAAAGACCCATTCCAGTTAAATGTAATAGTTCAAGTTAAATTTAGTAAAAACTAATTCTAACCTACAATGTACTAAAATTAAAGAAAATATGTTAATCAAATAAATTAGAACAAACTAAAACAAACGCACTATATTGTGCTAATGGTAGTGATATTAGCTAGCCAATAATAAACATAAATGTATAAGCCGATGGTAGAAAGTGGCTCTTCACATCCCCCCCCCCCCTCCAAAAAGAAATGAGACACGTGTTCTGTAACTTTGCGCATGAATATACATCCCAATCTTTGTTCAAAACTATTTTCCTCAGAGTAAATCTATAATGCAGTTGTAATGTCCACGCTTCAAATACGAAGGTGGATGGTATAATGTAAACTGTTGTTCATTAACCCGTTCTTGTAAAAGAAAATATTTATTCATCGTTTTTTAAAATAATGTTGAATATTAAAAAATTGATACATTTTTCTTCTTATTTTTCGAACTTACACATGAAACTCAAAGACCTACTGTGTAAACGCTCAGAGAATGCACACGAATGTCATTGTAGTGTATACGTATTGGCTTTATTACATGTATGCACATAAAGATAACTCTATGATCTATTATGTTTATTGTCTTAAACGTCATGCTGTGTTTTACGTCATCAGTATTGTTGTAGTTGAATAAATTATAAACCCGAAGCACGTTTCATATAGCTGGGACAATACATTGTATCAGGAGTTAATTGTGATATAAACCATATAGATACGACAGTCATGTGGCAGTTCAAAACTATTTTAGATACATGAGCGCTTTCATAACATTTAAACAATGTTAAATAAGGTTTGACGAGTTTTCAGAGAAAATATCGTGAAACATTAAAGTTTCGTTTTGGCCAGATTTCATTAGATACTACTTGAAAAGAAACAAAACAATATGACAAGATTTTTAAAGAGACACTGTGACGCAAGAACGGAAAACTAGCAAAGTAGACTTTGTGCATATCTCAATCAAATTCTTCAAAAGTATTTGGTTTCAAATTACACGTTACAGAATCTTGAAAAATATTTCTTCTGAGAATTTTTTTTTGTCCAGCTCAAGACAAAAACATTGCTTGACAATCTCCTCCTGTTTGTGTGCAGAACATTCGAACAAGCTTCAAAATTGTACCATGGTATCAAGTCAAAGAAAGTGGAGTGTTGGTAGTCGAAGTTTTTGATATATTACTTTTTAACAATTCCTTACTTGTATACTCCAATCTACATTTTCCGACACTTTTTATTGCTTAACAATGCAGTTAAGTTTGTATTAAAACTTCTCTATACTCAATTAAAAAAAATTTTTATGAGCAAATACAATCTTTCGTTTGTTTGTTTATTGTTTAACGTCCCTCTGGAGAATTTTTCAATCATATGGAGACGCCACCACTTACCGGTGGAGAGCTGCAAATTTTAACCTACATATATACTCGGAACTAAGGGCCATTAAGCAGTAACTGATCTTTTTCGTACCAGCACCTACTGCGGCTCGGGACCTCGGTTTATACGGTCTCTTTCGAAGGACCGGTCTCCACGTCCCACAGTGGGAACCCGCGACGTAAGGTAAGGATGAACTCCTTACTCCGCGACTCTAGAGCAAACGCTCTAACCACTGTGCCACGCGGGCGACTCAATCTTTCGTAATAAGTAAAATGTTGGCTGAAGCTTTCCATACAAATTGTTAAGCCATTATTTTGAATTGTCTTTGGATTTTTCAGTTTGCCCAATCATGACAAGGAGCACACAGCGGGAATGACCGCTCGACAGGGAATGCTCAGTTCTTCATGGTACTTCATCTCACCGCTGTTTTCAGAGGTCCATGTTTGCTCTGCTCCGACTTTGTATTGTTCCAATGGACTTCTGAGCTTGATAACTGTTCCTTATCGTCATTATAATACATGTATTTCATCTTGTTACAATATACAAGTTTTTTTTGAATATGTTTTAACAAAATGTTCCAAGTTTAAAAAAAAAAACAATGTTAGTATTAAAAATGTCTCAAAAATTCACTCATAATTCGTTTCCTCAATTCTGTCCCTACCGAGCTTCTATAATAGGCAATTCCGGAAAATATGAATACCCTGGTGAACCACAGCAACTTTCACCCATCATCGTTGAAAAATATCTATATTCTAATATATCTACACTTTTTGAGTTCTATTGCAGACAACCAGCTCCTCTAAAATTCCAGCCGGAAGTTAAGTAAAAAAAAAGATCTTTTGATTTGAACATATTCCCCCTGAAAATTTTTTGAAAATCTGTTGTGGCATTTACAAGAAATCGTCTGCAAAGAAATTGTAAACAATAAGTTTAATTATAGTATAATACATGTGGAAAGAAAGCAAAACAATAATAGAATTGTTTTCCGCAGAAGACTCTTATTAATCATGAATGCAATGCTTAAATTTCATCGTATATGTATCTGGAGTTCTAAACCAAAATGTTTAAAGCACCCTTTAAAAGGTAACCCTTAATTCTTGGGTCAAAGTCATTGTATTGTTTTATCGAATACCATTTCATGAGGCCTATTGGTAGTATTTGATCATTTACTATTGGGAAATATTTGGTGAACAATATGTTCAGCAGTGGGAATGAAAGATCATAAAGGAAAACAGGTTCTGTTCAATTTAAACGAAACAGTTAATAAGACTGCGACATGGGACAAATCGGGCTATAAATCAGCTTAACCATAATTACCACAAAAAAAAAAAACAAAAACAAAAACACCCCCCCCCCAAAAAAAAAAAAAAACAAACAAAACAAACCAAAAAAAAAAAAAAACAACAAACAAACAAACAAAGAAACGAACAAACAAAACCGAAAAAAACACACCCAAAAATCATTCCTGAAATCAAGCTAAAAGAAATTGCAAAAATCTGTTATAATGTGAGTAATTTCAAATTTGTAACACAAAACGATGATACTGTAAATCCATTAGTAATAGCCTTGGGAATAAATATAAGCAGAGCAATAACACGCATTTCAACAGATTGTCAAACAATTTCTCTCGGGTTAATGGTGTGCCTCATTGCAAATATTGAAGAAAGAGGATGTGTGGAAACGCTTTAAGTGATTTAATCATCGATTTTCTTTAAAATATTTATTTACTATCATTTCAAATAAAGTTTAAAGTATTTTCTTTAAAGGTTCCATTTTTTTTTTTTAGCAAACAGTTGAAAACAAAGAATTTTTTTTTCCATTGAATACTAAATTTGCTTTAATAAAAGATCAATATAAATAAAAATTAGTAGTCCGTTAACGATATTTGATATAAAAGATTTATGTAAAACCTGTTCCACTTTCTTCACCCAGTGAAGAAACCATGTGTTATCGCATCTTATGAATAATAACGAGAATGTCTGGAATATATATTGATTGTATCATCACGTTACTCGTCAATCAGGAAGCCGGGGCTCCTTGCTGTGTGTGCATTCCCTGACGGACGACGGTGGTAAGGTATTTTCTACTCTTTTTTTGTCTTTTTTTTCCTTGTTGACTTTAACTTACTGTTTAATTTCACATATTAGCAAAAAGGATTTTTTTGAGATTGATATTTTGTTTCTTAGCATAAGTTATTGCTACTCTTGATAACTTGTCTTTTGCATCAAATCATCCCATATTTTCTTTTAAAAACTAGGAATATCAAAGTTGTTCGTCAAAAACAATATTAGAAGTACATGTATGACGTTCATCGCTAAAATTGTGTTAATTTTGTACATTGTTTCACTTTTACCTTAATGGAATATTTCCTGGCAACATCTTTATATTATATATTTCAACATATATTACGTGAAATGTAACCTGCTAAAATCTTTTAAAAAGTAACCTTAATATTCTTTGAATGCTTTCACTTCAAAATCTAAATAGGATACAATTTAAAACACATTCTACAAAAAACACACAAAAAAAAAAAAAAAAAAAAAAAAAATGCCTGGGTTGGTATATATTGTGACTTATTTTATAATTGAAGCAATGTCAAATTTCTAAAATATTCAGAAAATGGAGACTTTCCATGTTAGTCAAAATTATTACTTTTTGTCATCACTTTTATAAATATATACATTTCTTTTTCACTTTGTACGTCATTGCTGAGGAACATTAAATAAAAAAATCAATCTTTATGTGGCTAATGTAATTCATTTTTTCTCACAAAGATTTTCATGATGTTCTTAGCCTTAAAATACTGAAAATGTTTTGAACATACAAATCCCTTTCCAATAGAATTTATTTATAACAAGCATTCTGAGAGTATTGCATTAGCAATACTAGTCCCCTACCGGCAAGTGTAAACTGGTTCCCGTTAAAAATTGAAATTCATAATTCCGTCAAAAATCAATGAAGCGGAACGAAATGCAAACTTGATCTATGACTCATCAAGGTAAAGTCACATGCCAAAAATCAGCTCATTTGCAAGCGTTTAGAAAGAAATTGCGGAAAACCCTGAAAAATTGAAAAGGTCGTAATTCCGTCAAAAATCATTGAAGCGGAACGAAATGCAAACTTAATCTGTAACTCATCAAGATACACTCACATGCCAAAAATCATCTCAATATCTGCAAGCGTTTAGAAAAAAAAGTGCGGAAAACCAAGTGGGACAGACTGACAGACGGACGGACAGACTCAGAGGAAACCTATAGTCCCCTCCGGTTTCACCGGTAGAGGATTGATAAACATTATTACGGATCGCCTTTGCTGATCCATTATTCTCTTTTCGTTTATAAAATGAGTATCCCTCATTTAACGTTGCCGCATGTTAAAAGAAAGTGATAATTGTTATAAAAGATAATGAAAGACTAATGGCCGTATTAAAAGCAGGAAATATCGATTAATCGGTTTACAAATAAATTTGTTTTTAGCACTGAGGTTCAGCAGAAGGTCGCGTACGCCAAATCAAAGTTTTACAGATGAAAAGGCCATGCTGAACCAAACTATTCATTCCAAATACGACATAACGGAGGATCCTATCTTTAAAAGTTCTCAACAAATATGGACTTATTCAGCCCCCATATTACTGGTGCTTGGAACTGTAACAAATATTCTTACGATAATTGTTCTTCTAAGGAAAAAATTAAGGAGAAAGACCACGATATTTTACTTAACGATACTGTCAATCATCAATCTTCTGACGCTATACATAGGTCTTGGGAAGACCTGGTTGATGGTAACTTTTGACGTTTACATTTCTGTACAGTCAGAGTTTTTATGTCGATTTTCTACCTTTGCTTTGAACCTGTTACTGAACTTAACAGTGTGGATTCTTGTTGCTGTAACAGTTGACCGCTGTATAATAGTATGCCTTCCTCAGCTAGCAAAACGAATCTGTCTCTTGAAGTACTCAAAAGGAGTTGCTGCAGGCATGTTTGTGGTACTTGCTATTGCAAACATGCATTTATTTTGGGGAGTTGCAATAAGAAAGACCCATGGAAGTTTGGAGAAAGATTGCACTCATGGAAATGATTTTAACGAATTCATATTTCCTTGGCTATCACTGACCCTTGGCTTTATAGTGCCTTTTGTAATCATGGTTATTGCCAACTCTTTCATCATTCGCTGCATTTATTTATCCAACAAGCGTCTTGCCTACCACCACAGTAACGACTCCAAAAACAGTAACAGTAACCACAACAAAAGGCTCTCTAGTGTGACCAGTATGCTTTTGGCTACAAATGCCACATTTATGATATTAACTCTGCCAATTATGATCTTTTTAATTGTGGAGCCTTATCACGTGGCCAACGAGGACGTCACTGCCAATATGCATCTCACATGGGCTATAGTTAACATCTGTGATTATACAGACCATTCCGTTAATTTCTTCCTTTATTGCCTTGCAGGGACTACTTTTCGCAGAGAGTTAAGAAAACTGCTGAAAGGAAAGTAATAAAACCATGAAGAAATAATTGGGTGATCTACATTAATCAATAATTTTAATTGAACGTTTAAGAGCATGTATAATATTATCTGCAAATAAAGGCTCAAAAATGTTATCTTTCAACCTTGACGACAATTTTTTGCAAGATTAAGCAGTATTTCGCTTTGTTTTTAGTGCGAAATCGGACGGCGCTTGAGATAAAGCTGAACTTCGAGCAAATTGAACAATGTAATGATTATGAATGGTTGCTATTGCAGAAAAAAAAACGTCACCCGCGTAAGCGGATTATGCAACCGTTAGATGTAATCCTCGTGTGAGCTAGAGAGGAAGACATTTAATTTTTTCTGCATTTTATTTGTATAAATTGGATGAAATTATGTAGAATATTATATTATCGACCAATACACTTCACTGGTGGAAAAGCCTTTGAAATCCGGCTTTGAAATCCGGATCTAATAACAAGTCGAGAGTTTCGATTAAACAATAAAATGCTGTTTTTTGTTAGTATGGAAATACTAAATGGACGTAGCACCTATTGCAGAAAATGCACATAACCTGCGTAAGTATAAGGAATCCAGAGAGGGCTACATACATGTACTATAGCACCATCGAACATCGACTAAAGGGTCGATGGCGCGATGATGATGAAGCGATACCTATGACGCGACGCCAAAATAGCGCAATGACGATGACGCGATTGCGCAACAATGCGATGGCGATGGTGCGATACATGTAGCGTGATGGAGCGGTGGCGATGAGCGCTTCATCGTCATCGTGTCATCGATATCGCTTTATCATGCAATCAGACCATCGTCATCGTATTTTCGCTCCATGGCATCATCGTCATCGCATATCACTTCATCGCACTATCGACTCAAACCTCGATTGTGCGAGGAGGCCTTAATGAACTACATGGCGCTATCCGGATTCCATAGAAGCGGGTTATTTAAGTTATTTTGCAATTGTTTCAACCGTTTATACTTGTACTAAGTAACAAGGAAAGAATGATATTGCTGCTTATATTTATATCTGCATAAATAATCATATAAAGAAGGTTTAAGTACGTTAGATAATGAATGGTTGATATGTAGGACCACAGGGGCTTGTGTAGAGAAAATAAATCAGTTAGAAAATTAGTACCTCGGAGAAAAAAAAAACACAAGGGAGGACGCCATTTTGGATACCACCTCGCTTCATCGGCTATTTTCTCGCTTAAATTGTTAAACTATACATACAAGCCAGTTCATATCCCTTAATAAATGTTTTTTTCTTGAAGGTCTTACTTGCGGTTTTAATCTTTGTTCGTCTACATTTACAGTCTTAGTCAATTTCTCGCGTAAACATCCAAAATCGACAACTCCTTGGCTTCTGCAGAAAACGAAAGTATGTCACGTGACGTAGTGTCGCTCGGTTTGTCTCAGAGCTTTACATTTACCAAGAATGAATTCCGAGAATTTCGAATTTTGAAAAGAAGAAAAACCGCCAAATATGAAAAGAGATAGTAGTAGCACTTCTTGGTAAGAGAATGACAAAGTAGTGTCTGGCGCTTTTTCTTCTTTTCAAAATTCGAAACTCTCGGATTTCATTCTTGGTAAATGTAAAGCTCTGAGACACACCGAGCGACACTACGTCACGCGGCACGTCGATTTACCCAAATGGACACAAATGGAACCCAAATGGAAATCAAAATGGACCCAAATGGAAATCAAATGGACCCAAATGGAAATTGAATGAAATATTAAATACATATTATCGTATTATCAAGTTGTTACTTATTTAAAATGATGAAAATAATGAACTTACAAATGGAGAATATTAAATATTCATCTCTAATATTGTGTTTTAGAATAAGAATTAATTTCTTTAGTATTCTATACATCGGTAAAATTATTGGGGGTGGGGGTTCTGGCACAGGCCCCGTACCCCCCCCCCCGTTCCTACGGCCATGAAAACTATATAAACTTTAAAATGAAATACTTCAATTTTGTATTCAATGATATGCAAAAGTTATTACAAACAGAAAAAAAAGATTAATTCGTATTTTAAAATACAGTATTAGAAATGAATAATATATATTCTCCATTTGCAATTTCATTTTTCTCATCATTCTAAATTAGTAACAAATTGAGAATACGATAATATATTTGAGTTTCCATTTGGGTCCATTTGGGTTCCATTTGGTTCCATTTGGGTAAATCAACGCACCCCTACGTCACGTGACATACTTTCGTTTTCTGCAGAAGCCAAGGAGTTGTCGATTTTGGATGTTTACGCGAGAAATTGACTAAGACTGTAAATGTAGACGAACAAAGATTAAAACCGCAAGTAAGACCTTCAAGAAAAAACATTTATTAAGGGATATGAACTGGCTTGTATGTATAGTTTAACAATTTAAGCGAGAACATAGCCGATGAAGCGAGGTGGTATCCAAAATGGCGTCCTCCCTTGTGTTTTTTCTCCGAGGTACTAATTTTCTAACTGATTTATTTTCTCTACACAAGCCCCTGTGGTAGGACATTGTACGTATGTTTCAATTATTGAAAAGCACACTTCAAAAGAAATCCATAGATATACGGGTGGCATGAAAACCTGTTCTAACCGGCATCTATCCATTAGTGAAATATTGGTATCATAACCAGTGCTCTTTAGTTACCCGTTTTTTTCCAAACTCGAGTACCTCAATTTTTAAATTTTTCTGCCCAGTCGAGACTTACCGAGTGTTTCTTTAAAATTTGAAAAAAAAATAAGGAACTAAATTTTTTTTTACAGTGTTTATTAAACACGTATAAAATTAACATCTGGATACTATTTATTTTTACAGATTACATCAATGCTTAATAAGTCAACATAAGTAAGGAGCTTTCCAGAATATTGCATCTTTGCTTTGTGAAGTCACTTTAAGTGACGCCTTGTTTATATATAAACGTACTTGCCAAATTACGGCTTCAAATCAGTGGAAATTTGGAAATCAAAAGAGATAAAAACGTTGTAAACTATGGATTATTGAAGAAATATCTATTTCGTGTTATTTGAGAAGAGCAGACAAAGAATAGTTGAAGTTCTATAGTAAAGAAGTTTATTTAAAAAAATATGGAGCGGAACGACGTTTTCAGGAAGCGGCAAATCGACTTTAGACCAGAATCAATATTTTTAACGAATAAAAAAATAAATATTTTAATCGAATTTAGAGGGAAAACTTTCAAATTTCAAATTTTTGATTCTCAGGAATTAAGATTGGCATTTTCATATTGCCAATATATCAATCAGGAAAATGTTGAGTTTGAAAATCAATGGAGGTGGATAAAGAAAAGCAATTATTTAAAAAAAATTTAAAATCTTATAATAGAACTAGGTTGCGTTTTGTAAAAGCCCAGGGACGTTAATATGGATATACATAACGCTAACCTGTGTCTGTAGAAGAGATAAATGGTAGAACAAAAAGGCAAGGAATGTTGGAAAGAAAAAAAGCAGTATAAATTACATGTAATAGGATGAAATGATCATGAGGCTTTATCAGGTCACAGACAGATAAATCAAAACCAATAATCAGATAAAGCTAGTTAATGTCATCTAGCACAGGTCACGCAAGGATGTTTCAAGTGCTGTTCACCTATTCATAGTGCAAGATAATCCTGTTCTAGAGGTTCTGGGTCTGCAGTTAATTACCTTTAAGTACTGAACAAGATTTGTACGAGAATAAACTTAAGAGGAATAAATCCTATGATTGAATACATCAGTACATGTAAGTTTTAAATATTATAAAAAAAAAAAAAAATTAAGATTTATGTCATATACAAATATTTTAGAAGCCAGCCAACTTTTGTTTATCTTTCATGCTTATTTTTAATATACCTGTAATTATTTCTACATCCCCATTTTGTTTTTTTTTTCAAACAGTGCATAACCTTTCCACACCCATAGCGTAAAAATTCACAATGGCCAAAAAAAAAAAAAAAAAAAAAAAAAAAAAAAAGATTCTGATCCCCTGTACTGGGCCCCAGGGGAGGATTTCAAAACACTTTGGAATGGATCGTAAGAGAAAGTTGTATTCTATCAGTTTTCAAAATTACAAAGCTCTGTCTTTTTTCTGTCTGATACGCAACAGGCATTCGGGATTCATGAAAGCATTTTTCCGGATTTCCATACCCTTAATAGAAAGGTACACAATCTAGGTGTCTTAATAAAGGGGAATCTCAAAAAGAAGGTGACACAGAAAAGGGAATGAGGAAAGGAAGGAAAAATGTCACCTAAACGCCAAAAAAAGTCTTAGGATCATACTTTTTCTTCGCCTGACCCCTGCGCCGTGACCTTTGGGCACTGTAGGATCGATCCCGATCTTCATTCAGTTGCAAAATAAACCTACATTTTCTTGATGTGGATAAATTATCGAAACAGTGATTTATATTTTTTTTCAAGATTCCCCCCCCCCGACCACTCCCCCCACCCTTCGTATGAACATTCTTAACAATCTCCGGCCGTTGAAAGGATTAAGAAACTTTCCGGTTTTTTTTCTAGTTAGCAGTATGGCCGCTTGAAGTACAAGAATAAAAGAGATTCACAAGAAGTATGCAATTCAAGTATACATGTACATGTAAGAACCAACAGAGTTTATTCCAAATGGTTCACATTTGGAATAAACTCTCTAATCTTGCTAACCGTTTGCATGTTTTACATTTCAATGAAAACGAGATGTGTTTGATAAACTCAAATGTACCGAGAGTGTCCATTTCTAATTAAAGACCATGGGTTGAAGGTCTGGAGTTTTCTTTATCACAAAATAAAAGTTATGATCAACCACTGTCAAAGAGGAAGGGCCTACTTTATATGTGGTTGGGCAGTTTCCATGATACTTACGGAAACATGCCAAATATCTACTTGTTGTAATAATATTGAATGAATATCAAGGAGATTTTCTAGTTCAATCGATTCGAATTATCAATGTACTTGCAATGACAAAATTCAGCCAGACAGAATAATCGTGATTTAAATCAGAAGAATGTAAATTATTTACTATTTCCATTGTGAATGAACTTAAACATAAGTGGAGCCTTTCAAACAT